AGAGGGGGTACTATTTTAGTACATTGTTGGTAAAACTCACTGCCATTGCTGTCCACTTGGATCAGATACCAGAAGCAAATTACCAATCCGTTGTTGCTTGATTAAATCAGTTATTTTTCTTTTTCAATTTTTGAAGGTATTTCCAAAAGCAGCCAGAATGCTGCTGAAACCAGTAATCAGATCACCAAAGCCACCCTGCCAACTGGGAGCCTCCAGGCCAAGGCATTTGGCTCAGCCAAGTGGAAAAGAAAACAGAGCAAGGATCCTGCCAGGGTGCGAATGAACGTGTCTCACTTATTTCCAATGGGAAGACACACAAAGGCTTTCTGCCTAAGAATAAATACCTACCCCAGAGCTCTCAAATTCACATTCCAATATGCTGCTGAGCATACTGCCATTTGGAGGTACATTTGGATCAGGAGAACAACCTCCTGGGCTGTGTTTCTGCCTCGGTGTTGCACAATTAGAAGCCTGTACAGGTGAGCAGCTTCCCATCTGCCTTCATCTCTGCAAGTCAATGAGCTGGCAGCCCAAAGAGACAGCTGGGACTGGGGGCCTTCGTGGGGCCTCCCACCTGTGCTGCCATCGTATGCAAAATGTCAGAGGTCCCCAAAAAGCAGCAAGCTGTTCCTGCGGCAGCAAGCATCCTGATGGCCCTCCACAGCTGAGGCTGGGGGTGCTGTACTTCCTGAGGCCTTACACGGCACACAGGGCTGAGAATGGCTGAGGCAGCCACGCAGTCTCCCTGTGTCTTCTGTGATTGCCAAGTGCCTGCTGCACTGATTTCTCCCCCACCCATCCCCAGCACCCCTTGCTTCCCTCAGTGTCTTTCATTTCCAAGTCCCCTGGACTTTATTAACAACTTCATTTTTTTTTTAAATAGATTAAAAATGATCTAACTATCTAAAGAGGCATTGTCCAGTATAGCAGCCATTAGCCACATATGACTATTTACATTTAGATTAATTAAGATGAGACAAAGTTAAAAATCTGATTGTCCAGTCACTCCAGCCACATGTCAAGTGTTCAGTGGCCACATGTGGCTGATGGCTACCATACTGGATGGTACAGATGTGAAACATGCCCATTATCACATAGCTTGAGTGGACAGCTCTGCTCTAAAGGATATAGTGCGCATGTCTCCCCTCTTCCTGCTGTCCCCAGCCCCCTCCCAGAGGCAACCCTGTTGCCAGTTTCCTTTGTGTCTCTCAGAGATTTTTTATATGCCTCAACAGTGTGTGTGATGCAACCTCTTTTGTTAAAACAAATGAGAAAAGACCCTAAACACTATTTTGCTCCATGCTTCCTTCACTTAGTGAAACTTGGAGACCACAATATAAGTGTACAAATAGTGCTTCACTCTTCTGAGCAGCCTCACAGCAATCCACTGTCACCCTGCCTCCCGCCACCACCCTCCCTTATAACCACTCTCCTCTGGGCCCCGCTGTGCGGCCCTGCTCCCCACCTCCAAACTCTTTCATCGCACTCCAGTCTCCACATCCTCAGGCTCCTATCTGCCTGCTGCCCAAAGCTCCTGGCCTAACAACAACCTGGCTGCTTGCTGAGGATTCGGCTTCCCTTCTTTTGAAGTGGAGGCATGGTTTTCTCTCTCATCTGCATTCTCAGAGCCTGTCTCCCTGTGGTGAATTCCAAACCAGCTCTCCAGCTTTCTCGGTCAACACTCTCGTCACTCTCAGCCTTGATGGCCCACCACACTTCCTGCCACTGCCCCCACCTCCTGGCCCCTCTCCTTCATTCACTGCATCTCCCCCCGACTTCTGCAGAGGTCCTTCAATCCCAGGAGGGGCATCCAGCCAACACCTGGCCCCACACCTGGCCCTGGCCCTTTGTCCCCATCCTACCTCAGCCACCGCTCCTGCCCTGAGGCCATGCCGAGGAATGATCCCCTGTGAAACCCTGGTTTCCAGCCCCCCACTCGTAGATCAGTGCTGCACACCACTGCTGACCGTAGCAAGCAGGACTTCTGAGCTATGACGACTATTTGTTAACTTCGCCACGGACATTATGCTGCATAAAATAAGTCAGTCACAAGAGGACAAATACTGTACGATTCCAAGTATGTGAGGTACCCAGAGTGTCAAGTTCATAGAAACATAGTAGAATGGTGGTTGCCAAGGGCTGGGGGGAGAGGACAAGGAGAAGTCGTTTAAGGAATATAAAGTTTCTTTTGCAACATGTTCGCAACAATATGAATATACTTAACAGCTACTGAGCTACACATTCCAAATGTTTAAGGTGGTGAATTTAATGATACATGGGTTTTTGGTTTTTTTTACCACAATAAAAAAAAATGCAGAACAAAACCATTGCGGCTGCCCTCTGTGGTGGTGCTGAGGGCGTACCATCTTCTTCTGAGCACCAAACACCCCATCACACTCATGGTTAACAGGAGGCAAGGCTGAGGAAACTTCCTCTCCTGTTTGCATTGGCATTCCATGCTCCAGGTTCTTCCCAAAGCTTAGAGTCAAGGTAGGAAAAATTAGCAGAATTAACTAAGGACCAGTTGGCTATTTCCCCATTCTCTTGAGCATTGTTGTCCAGCAACTAACTGAAAATCAATGTTTATTCTAGCTATGCCTCTCTAATTAATTCATGCTCATTGATATGCAAACATCAGCTTCTCAGCTAGCAGTGATATCATGAATTTTTAATTTACATAGGATGAGCCAGAGATTAAAACTTTAAACTAAAGCCAACAATACAGAGGACTGTGTCATTTTAATCCCCAGATTAATAATCTCCAATTGAATTCACTGGCAGCATCTTGTGAACTATCATCCGGGAATTATCAAAGGAACTCTTCTGTGAGTTTTTGCCTTTTGAGTATGAATAGAGATATAGTTTTTTTTTAATGGTACCTGTTTAGGGGTCATTGAAAATAGTGAAGCCAAAGACATCTCTTGTCATCAATCTTTCAATTTTGGGAAAACTCCAGGCCACCTAGTAAATGCTCATAGAGATCCCGACAGTACAGAGAAGCCACTTAACAATTTGTAGATTTGTGACTAGTACATAAGAAACTGATTTGAGCATAAAAGACATCAGATGAAAAAAGCAAATTAGAAGAGAAAAATTGAGAAATGCTGAACTCCATTCCTTTGTGGACTGCAAATCAAATTGTGAATTATTAGTTCTAAAATAAGAAAAAGAAGAGTTTTCTCTTTTGAAGGCAACCGAAATATAAGTCACATATGTGATTTTAAATTTCTGAAAGCCACATTAAAAAAGATTAAAATTAATATTAATAGTTTATTCCTTCCAGTATATCAAAAATATTCTTCTATTAATATGTAATCAATATTCTTTAAATTATTAATAAAATGTTTACATTCCTTTTTGTTAGTAAATCTTTGGCATGTAGTGCATATTTCACACATCACCTCTTAGTTCCAACATGCTACATATAAATGCTGACATAGCTACTAGTGGCTACTGTATCGGACAGTGCAAGCATACAATGAAAGAATATATGTTCTTCTGACAGGACAGGGACTAGCTCTTGAAATCTAAGCATATCTCAACATTGTTCTCAGTGTATTCCTCAAGCAACAGCCAGCAGGAACTTAGGTGGGTGTGTCAGCTGCTCCTTCTGCCAAACCAGTGTTAATTCAACTCATCATTATGGTACCATTATGGTATCATTTGAAATTTTACAAAATCATTTTACTACTATTGTTTCAATTTTTTCAACCATAAATTGACTCATTTTTTTAAAAAATTCATATCCTAAACAATGTCATCTGTATTATCACAGATTTGATACTCTGTATTTGTTAAAAAGATCTAATGCACTTTAAAATAAATATGTAACACTTAGAAGTTTTGTGCTCTATCTAAAGCCAACAAGAAGCTAAATTAAAATTTGTTCACATTTGTTAATCACTTGTGGCACCATCTTTCAAAAGCTTTCCATTTGATACATGCAATCTCAGATATATTACTCTATCTGAGTACCCTGGCACTCAACATTTGTATGTTTGAGTGGGACCTAGCATCCCATCAAGGATACCTTTCTGTCTGGGCACCACCATAAACACAGCAAGACAGCATTTATCCATTTGGATTCAACTGTCCAAAAGCTGCAGAGGTGAAGTAAAACTTTTGCCCTGATGACTAGCAGTGGCCCAGGCCCAGGGTAGCTGCCTTAATAAGTAATAAGGATGGGCTGGCGAGGTTTAGTGAACTGCATCTATTAATATTACATTATATATTGTATATATATATATACTGACCCTATGAAGGAGGCATTACTGTTCTCCTGCTTCTCCAGATGAAGAAACAAGGCATACAGTAGTTAGCAGCTTTCCATGGTCACAGAGCTAATGTGGTAGGGCTGAGATTCAAACTCTGAAACCTGTGCCGTTATCATCTGGGGATTACAAATGGAATAAAGTCATAGAAGCTGGAAGAGACACATGTTTTATGGTCACAAACACAAATCTCTCAAAGATTCGTGCAAAATCATCACCCACAGGATGTGGAGACCAGGGAAAGCAATACCTTCTAATGCAGAGAGAGAGAGAAGACAAGTAGATTAATCTAGAATGCCCTCAATATCCCTCCATAAATTGTGGTGGAAAATATCTTACTTAGAAAGAAAGAAAAAAGCATGAAAATTGAGGGGAACAAGATTCCAGTAAGACAAAGAGAAAGAAGATGGAAGGATGGATGGACTGAGGAACAGCCAGACCAATGGATAGATGGACAGCTAGAGAGACAGGCCAATGAGCAGACAAACATTCACTCCAGGCTCAAGAACAGAGGACAGGGATAATTACAAAGGAGCATCCCATCTCTCCGGCCATCCCAGGAGAGGCCTATCATATGGCTCATGTCACACCAGCCACTCTCAAAGGCAATTTGGGGTGCTAGGCTCATCAGTGGAACCAAAGCTACAGGGTGGCTATGCTGACAGACTAATTATGTGGCCTTTCTTTGCAAGGGTTCCGCAGTGTGGGAAACGATAAAAATCCACTTACATGTATTCCCTATGAGCAGAGTGTACGGCAGCCGCGTTGCTGTAACGCCAAAGGACAATTGCTGATGACAGGACATCGAGGATGGCATCAAACTAGGAGAGGAAGACAGGGTGTTAGTGGTTTTCCAGAGTTAATGGTGCACAACTGTGAAGACAAGGCAACTGCTCTGTGACCTCCTAGTAGAGGCTTCACGTCATTATAATCTGGGCCACTCATCACCCCACAATGGATCCTGGGGATCCGGAGCCCAGGGCACCTGACATGCTGGCTTGGTGGCAGTGCCATGGCTCACCCCATGCCTTGTGGCACTTGCACAGCCTGAGAAACCAAACTCTGTGGTGTGGGGAGCTCTGTTTCCAGCACCCTAGAGATCTGGGGGCTTACATTGTTCTGATACATGTGAAACTAGTATCCCCTTGGTGGGCAAGAGAATTTCAGTATTTTCTGATATTGCAAGTAAAAGACTTGTGGTAAGGATTCCATATTTCTAGCTCTCAATGGGATTGTTCCACCTGGGGGCCAGAGCTGGGTGGTGTCATCCAGGGCTCCTCAAAGTTTGCCAACACTTTGAAACTGTATTCAAAATTCCATGCTTTTGTTTGAATGAACAAGTGCACATGAGAGAGACAGAGAAGAGACAGAGGAAAGGAAGGGAAAGAGAGGGGGTTGGGGGAGAGAGAAGGGAGGGAGGGAGAGAAAGAGAGAGAGTGTGTGTGTGTGTATATGTGTGTGTGCGCACATGCATTTTTTTTGGAGAAGAGTCCATACCTTTTAAATGATTCTGAAAAGAATCTGCAACCCCAAAAACATTAATCACAGCAAAGGGAAGAAGTGGGTTTGGAAACAGAACACATACCCTCAGGAACCCCTAGAGCTATGCAGGAGGGGTGCTTGAAGGAGTCTCAGCAGAGTCACTGCACCGTACCACACTTTTCACCTGGACAATTACAAGCACTAACACTCTCTTGAAGAGAAGGGAAAGTTTACCCAAGTTTTCGACATGCCTCACCCATAAAAAGATCTAAGACCCATTTTCTCTAACCAACTCTCATCAGGAAACAGGCTGGGACCTCAGGTTACCCCTGTACAGACTGACCTATCCTCGTACCAGCAGCCCCAGCCAATCTCAACCCCCGAGCCCCTGCCTGCACCACCAAATGCTTCACTCGTCTGTGCCCATTTTCAAACCTATAGCCTGTAGGACGAAACAAGGGCTAAAACCCTTAAACATCCTCTCAAGCAGTTATGGATCAGGTTTTCTGATCTGTTCTTGTGAATTACATAGTGTGGTTGCAGTTTACCTCCATTAAATTGTTATTTTTTATAGATGCTATTTTGATAAATGGTAAATTTGTCATGCTAAGCCTTCATCTGCTAGCTACCCTCTGAGAGCCCAGCATGAGATCTGTGGGCCCAGAAAAAAACGTGCAAAATGTCACAGAAGTACATTTCAGGTTACTTACTGCAAACCCAAAAGCAGAGGCGCTGTACCGCATAACAGAGACAGCTAAAAAGAAAGAAAATATTATTCAGAATATTTTAAGACCTCATAGATATTTTCTCTCATTTGTGAGTATATTGGTATATTTGATATGGCCTTTTAAACATCATTGGGGAAGTGCCAAGAGAATACAATTGAAAATTACTTGTACTTGTAAAATCTGAGAACTGAAAAGACTAAAGAGTGAAGTGAAAGGATTGCAGATTCTACCTCTGACAGCTTCCCTTCCCAGTGGGCTCTGAAGCACCAAAGGACCAGCTTCAGAATGAAAATGCTTAAGCAACTGTCAATCAAATGACTGTTCAGACTTTGAGAATTTAGCAACTGGGAACAAAAGAGCTGGGAACCAAACTGAACTTTCAAAGTAAAAGTGCAACCATCCAGCTGTCCTCATAATAAGGTAATTAGTGGTGGCATCTACCATTGCTAACAAAGGGGAAAAAAATCTCTCTTGCCCATGAGAGCTTAAAATCCCGTGTAGACCTCAATAAAACTGTTAAGAAAAACAATACAAATCACCTTACACAACAGATGTCTACAAATGTAGATGTAACATTATAATTAAAACATTTAACCATATTCAAAATCCATCTACCTTTTTGAGCAAGTCAACTGAGCAGCCCTTTTGTCTAATTCTGTGATCTGTTCTGTGCCAAAGTGATGTCTAGTTTCAAAGACTGTTCTCAGTTTGACTTGATAAATGCATATCTCCAAATCAACGCCACATTTAACAAGCGTACGTCTACCCTCCACCAAAGAATGAAACCCTCTCTGATGGCTGAGCAAAGCTTTGAAGTGGATTGTCCCAGACACAGGAGCTGAAAGCGTTCGATCATGGAGGAAGAGGCGTGGGCATGAGGCATGGTGGTCAATAACCATCTGGCCTCCCACTCAGCTCACCACATGCTCCTTTTCTGTCCTATCCAAATAAGGTACAGGAATGGGCCCTGGACAGCCATGGTTTGCTTTGTACCCCTGCCCCCAGCCATATGGTGGTCATCTGACCCAATGGGAACCAAGCATACTTCATTTTCTGTGATCTAGAAATTGAGACTGAGAGTCTAGTTGGTCAATTTATGTTGGTAGAATTGGAACTTGTAAATACTGGAGGTAGGGTTGGCCTCTGTTTGCTGTAAGGACAGAGGAGCAGAGAGACCAGCATGAGGTAAACAGCTCTGGGGCAAGAGTGCGACTGGCCTCCAGAAGTTTCCAAGCCCTTCTTGAGACAAGCTATGTGAGGAGAATGCAATCCATTAAATTCCTGACCTCCTGTTTTTGAGATGAGCTGCTCCAGGTGTCCCTGCTGATGCTCTTAGTGGCCTAGGGAGAAGCCAGCTGCGTATAGTGACCAATTGTAGCTTTTGGGGACACAGAACCTTCCCAAGAACTCAACTCAGGAGCCACATTGGCATATGCAAACAAGGAAGGGTTGCCCTGAGCGCCAAGGTGCCCTGGAGAACCCTGAGCCTGGATTGCAGGAAGTGCTCAGTGACTGTCAAGTCGACTTAATAAAATTTCATAGAAACAAGTCAAAATGAGTATGTGGTTTTTTTCCTTTACAACCTGTTTTTACAATAGCTTAGCTGTGTGCTTTTTGTGGGTTATTTATCAGCAGTGGAAGCCTTTTTAACTCCTACTAACATCTTGCCCAGATGTTATATTCAACAGACAGAGAAGGGCTGCCCGGGCCGGAGCTCCTGCCCCGTCTCTACCTGGCACCACGGGATGGAGGCACAGCTGGGAAGGCGCTCCACTCGCCATCAGAGGGGACCACCCACTTTCCAAGCTGTAAACTGTCACTTTAAAATGTTTTAATCAAGTTACTTGGTAATACCAGACATTTATACTGTGGGTTACAGATTTCAGAGATGGATGCCCACTTGATTATACTGAGAAACCCAAGAAACCTTGTCTCAGAGACTCTGGAGTCCAACAAAAGAAGACAGCCATTGAACAGTGGGGTTTCCCACCTTGACTGGAGTCAAGGTGCATAATTTCAAACACTCAGGATTATACTGGGAAGTTCTGCCTGCGGGAGTGAGTTAAGCATGGCCCATAGATGAAGAACTCAGAGCACAAGTGGAATATTAATACTCTTCTATCTCCATGCACCAAGGGAAACACAAGTAAAAATGCTGCAAGTTAACCAAGAGTCCTTCACAGAGGGAAAGACTGACATGTTTCTTTTACTCATGGCAAACCAAGGGTTACGTGAAGGGCTCTCCGCAAGGCCTCGGCCCTTGCAGTTTCCCCCTGCAAGCCCCTCCCTGGTGCTCAAAATGAAGTCACAGCAAATAGTCATTAGCACAGAACCTGAGAGGAAGAGGTCAGTGGCCTTTAGGAATTTCTGAAGATTGTCAATTAATAACTTTACTTTCTCTGGCTGTCACCGAATGAGACATCCTCATTCTGGAATAAGAACAGACTCAAAGGAAAGGATCAAACTGGTTTAGGCAGCCTCTGCTCCCAAGAAAGAGAGCCAACTGTGGGGTTTTCATTGCAATTTCTCAAACTTTCCTTGCACTGAGGGTGAGTTCCACTTAGAGAAGAGCAGGCCTGAGCCAGGATGACCTACCAAGGCAGAGATTACAAGGCGGATGCTCCCGGAGCCCCACACGCATGGACACCCACCTTGCAGGCAGCTGCGGGCGGCTGAAAGCCGCCACAGTCCACGCAACGTCCAGTAGCGCCTTGAAGGCAGGAGCAAACTCAGCAGTGGACAGCAGACGAGGGCCCTTACCATCTCGGACAATCATGCTGCATGCTGGCAGGATCCCCAGAGAGATGGGCAGGCAGGCAGCCGTGAAGCGGGGCTGTCTGTGGCAGAGGCCCCCAAGTGGAGGTGGCTGTCAGCTCAAGGTGCAGCCCCTTTGACACACACCACGCTGCTCTGTAATGGAGCGCCCAGCTGTCAGAGCCTCCAGATTCACCTGGATAACACTGCTATCAGCTTCCCCTGGGGAAATTTTCAAGCATGTTTCTGCTTCTCACATTTGGAACTTGTCTCCATCACTCAAAACTTAAACATGTAGCCAGGGAACCAGTGGCCACCAACAGCCATGCAAACACAGGCCATCAGAGCCTCTTGCCCAGGTCCCTGAGGCCTCAGCGTCCTGCCTCTTACTCCCATGCTGAGAGAGGAGGCAGCCCGCCGTCTGATGATGCTGGCCTTACACAGCCCAAAATGCATGGGTACCATACGAGTGAGCTCCTCTCATTTTCTATGCTGTCTTTTTTACTAAGATACAGAATGTTCACTTAAAGTGTTCATAAGTGAAGATCTATAGTTTGGGGCCTTCCAGCATCCATTCCCCATTTAGTAAGAGCAGCCTGAGTCTCCTCTGGGGAACGCTACCTCCCCTGCCCTCAGATTCTGTGGTTTGGGTGGGATGACATCATCCCCACTCTAGCACATCCTTGTCCTACAGTCAAAGGTCATGATTCAAAGATGGCACAATTCAGTGTGAGACAACGAGAACCCCGAAGTTTTTGCTGAAAATATTGGGAGGGGCATGTCTTTCTAAGATGGACTTGTAGAGCTGGTAGCATGGAAACAGGAACTACAGGCACAATGCTGCCCCAAACTGGGGAGAGGCTGCCTCAGAATGAAGCCAATACAGAGGAAAAAGCACATATTAAAGATTAAGAGACACAAATCAGACCCCCGACAACATGGCCTGAATGTCTGGCACAGCCCCACCTGAAGTCTACCTCTGCATTTTCAAGTACGGCAGCTAATAATTTCCTTTAATTTGTCTAAGCCAGTTTGAGTTGAGTTTGTATCACTTGCAGTCAAATGAGTCCTAATACAATACACCTTGATCCAGCAATTCCATGTCTAAGAATCTCTTTTAATACCTAAGAAATGGGGAAAAAAATACCTTATACACAACAGGTCCATAGTAGAGTTAAGCAATTTATAATAGCAAACACTGGACACAATTTAAATGTCCAGCAGGGTAATGACTAAAGTATGGTCCATTCAGAAAATAAGCTATATGCAGTTGTTTTTAAATGTTTCCAAAGAGTTCTGTTGGTTGATGCTTATATTAGAAGTTTAGCTAGAATAATGATACTGATAACACATAGGTAGCATGTTTAGTGCCATCAGTACTGGTGTCATGGGGTGGAATGGGTCTGAGTCAGGAGGCATTCTGACTAGAATAGGTTCAAACTTAATGAGGTGATCAGAAAAGTCTTCACTGAGAAGGTAACATTTGAGCAAAGACCTGGAGGAAATGAGGGAGTGGGTCATGCAGTCACCTGGAGGAAGAACCTTCCAGATAATAGGAAGAATCAGTGCAAAGGCCCTGAAGTGGAACACCTGACATGTATAACACCATTTTGTCTTAAGTAAAAGTTCCAGAGATAATAGATTTCCTTATTGCTTAAGCAAAACATTAGGTAAAAAAGGTCAGGATACAAGGTGATATACAGGAAATAACTAGCTTTAATGCACAAATACGTTTAAAAAATGCACTGAAAACAACTAGAAAAAAAAATCCCCCAAATGATAACAGTGGTTAATCTTTGGTGGGTGGGAATATTTGAGTGGATTTCTTTCCTTTCTACTTTTTTGTATTTCCCACACATTTTCTACAACCATCATAGATGACCCATTCAAATAAGAAAAAAAAATCCATTTTATTTAGGGGAGAAAATTACCTGACTCATAACAACTTACACAAAGAGTGAAAATGGAATGGCAGAGCCATATTTATAATGCACACCCCAGAGCAGCTGTGCTTTGAGCTCAGGAATGCTTCCGGCCCCACAGGAAGGATACTGCCATACATGTCTTTACTACGTCTAAGCTTCTGTGTCTTTCTAAGCCAAATCACCTACATGAGCAAGTTGCAAATGCCCCCATAGAGTTCACAGGAACAGAGCAGAGGGCAGGTGAGCCAGGGTATGGAACATGAGCAAAATGTCACTCCCTGTTCTAAGGGACCTCCTGCCTCCCAGGTTTTTGCTTGTCCTCCACTCTACTTTCATTTTTGTGTCAAGGGG